CGTATTATTATTTTTAAGATTTTTGAGAAATGCCAGGAAGGCATTATGTTATTTTTATTTTCGTGTTGCTGGCCTAAAGAGAGGCAGCATTTTTATTTATTTTTATTATATTCGTATTTATTTTGATAAGTTTCTTGTTAAAGTTATGTCCAACCCCGTTATTTTAATATTTGATATTTAAATTATAAGTTTTGATAGTTCAGTAGTCTGACCTTTTAATTGAACACAGTCGCTGTTAACTATTTCTAAATATTCTCATACGTAAGAACTAGAAACGGTTACAATATTATTACTATTAGTAGATAAAGATTCTTATTATATGATTATGTTCATGTTAAAAAGTGTGAAAGATTGAATAAAGTATAAAATAATCTTCTAATATTATTATATGTTAGCCAAAATATTAAATAATTCATAAAAAATCTAATAAGTTCACTAAGAACTTTAAGAATAATATAAGTTTTAAAAAATAAAAGTAAATTTATCAAAAACTTAAAGGATTATGAAAGAATTATAAAAGAATTTATAAAAAATAGAACATAAAGTTCTTTAATATTTGAATATTACTTTATCAAAAAGCAATCTAAATTCATCAAGAATCTTTATTATTATTTAAAAAAAGAAAGCACAAAGTAATCAATTTTTCTGACAAACATATAATAAGTCAGTTATTATATTTATTAAAGAATAAAAGCAAAGAAACTTTATTAATACTAAGTTTATCAAAGATTATCTTTTTTTTAGCTAAAATATATACTATATTTATAATAATTATTCATTATTCAATCTTTTTAATCTAGAACTAATTTATTCTATTTAAAATAAGACTTAATTCATTCTATAAATTATCTTGTGATACTTGTCTTAATGTTTTATATCTTTTGTTTGAGTGTAACTAATTATTATAAATTATTTTTAATTTTTAAAAATCGATTAATATGTGTTTTTTATACTAATAATAATAATATAAAATAATACAAATAGTATAAAGTAGAATAAATAATATGAAATAAAATAAAATATAGAATGAATAATATGAAATATATTTAAAATAGAATGAAATAATATAAAATATATTGAAAATAAAATAAAATAAGAATGAATAGTATGAAAATATAAAATAAATAGTATAAACTAAAAAGAGATTGTAATTTGTAGATTATATATTTACTAATTATTCAATAAAAATATCTTATATTAATTTGTAGCTCTAATTCTGATTTATAACTTTATATAAAAGTTCATTAATATTTACTTGAACTTAGATTAGACTTTTGATTAGATTTGAGTCAGATTCAAAGTTTGAACTAAACTCAAATCAAATTTTTAATTGGATTCAAATTTTTGAATCAAACTTTTAATCAGATTCAAGTTTGATTCAAGTTCAAATTGAATCAAACTTGAATTGAATCAGATTTTTTTTAGAAATTTACTATTAGTAGTCTTTATAGTATTATGACTGAAAATTTACATAATTTTCATAATTTTCATAACTTCTATAACTTTCATAATTTTGATAATTATTACAATTACTGTAATTATCATTATTTATAATAATTACTATAATTACTACAACTTACATAGTATCTATTATTTATCATTTTTATATAATTAATTATAAATATAACATTTATTAGTGGAAAATATTTACTATAAATAAAGTGCAATTGAAGTTTTAAAAAAGGTATTAATTAATTAATACAAAATCTAGCTAGTTAATAAACTGTTTCTTGTTTATTGTTAATAAAATTTGTATATTAATTGATTGAATAATAACTTATTAAAATACTTGCATTATTATGCACTATTAGATAACTGTTAAAGTTACTATAGAATATTAGTACTGTATTGTTATAGAACTGTCTTATACTAAGTAGACATAACATCTATTAGTAAATAATAAGAGCCTATCTAACAGATAGAAAAAAACACACTGCGTGACTAATAATCCTAAAATATATTAATTATATCAGGATTGAGTAATTGTAAAAATACTGTTATCAGACGTTAATTGAACATATATATTATGATAATATCTATCAGATGCCTGATCATGACAATAGTGTTATGATTGAAAATTTCCATAATTTTCATAATTTTCATAATTTTTATAATTCTTATAAATCTCTAAAAATATCATAAACTCTGTATTTTTATATATAAATTAATTAGATAAATTTTATATTTTATCATTTTTATAATGCTTATATAATTTATCATTAATGTAACATTTATTAATGAAAAATATTTATTATAAATAAAGTAATATTGTTATTATTTCTGTTAGTTTTATTATCTTTTAAATATGGATCACGTATTCTTCACGTGTTCAATCAGATAGAAGAGTTATTAAAGATTTTTGTGTGTTTAAAATAATTAAAGTTGGGAGAGACTAATTTAATAAAGATAGGTAATAACATTTTCATTTTGTTGAACTATTAGAATGAGTTCAGAAATCTTCTTTTAATTTAAATGATTTATTTATTAAGTAATCTTCTTTTATCAATTAATTTTTTTATAAAATTATCTTCTTCTTTTATTATAAAATTAATTAACTTCACAGAGTAATAATGAAAGGTTAATTATATTATTATAGATGACGTTGCTTGTTACAAATGAGAAATCTTTTAAATATAAAAGAATACAAATAAGAAAGAAAAGAAGTAATTAATGTTTGACTGAAAATCTTCAACTCAAGACTTATAATACAACTCATTTCTAAGAAGATTTTGTGAAAGAAAATTAAAATATAAAAAGATTAATTCTCAAAAGATTAAGAATCTAAAAGGTAAGATTATTTTTCTAAGCTAAAATACATATTATATTTATAAGTATTTGATAATTATAAAATGATCATTTGAAATAATTATTTAGAATGTTTGAAATGATTGTTTGCAATAATTATTCAGAGCACTTGAGATGATCAGTTGGAATGATCATTGAAATAATCATTCAGAGTGATTATTTGAAGTGACCATATAAAGTGATCATGTGAAATGATCATTTGTAATTATGAAAAAAGATATCAATTGATCACTACAAAAATCTAGCTAGTCAATAAATAAGAAATCTCTAATAAAAAATATTACTTGATAAATGACATTCCCCATATAACAGGTTGTTATACATACATTTATTCTTAATATATAATGTAAATATTAAAATTAAACAAATTTATAAAAAATTAATTGGATGTTATTAATAAATATTGTGTAATCATGTGTTAGCCAATCAATAGTGTTTGTATTTGACATGTGATCGATAAATCACATGCGATATCATCACTTTTTCTTTATTTTTATACAAAATTTTTGGCTCAACCATATTCTTATGACTAATATTTAATTAATAAATTCCGTTAATAAAAAAGGAATTTCTGCTTCACTAATTTTCGTAAGAAATTTCATTCACAAATGTTACATAATGAAACTAATATGCTAAAAGTTCTTGTTTTTATCAATTGGTGGATATGATAATTTTGCCGACTTATTTATCCCACTATTACTATTACTATTACCATTGCTATTATTATTGTTGTTAGTGGTGGTAGTGGTGGTAGTGGTGGTGTTTTGATTATTCTTGGTATTAGTATTTTGATCCCAATGTTGTAACTGTGATTGCTGTTCAATTGGAAACATATTGTGGATCATAGAAATGTCGTGACCACCCATCGCTGACGGATGACGAATAGAGTTGATGTCCTGACTAGACATATTAGAAGATGGACGGGAAATTGGTGCGATAGTTGCTGTATTAGGATTATTAATATAAAGTAGCTGCTGATTAGATTGCCGTTGTTGCCCTTGAAAATTTTGCATGTTATGACTTGCTATTAATTGTCCATTATTATTGAGCGAGGAATTATTACCAAAAGGAGGGGGTCGATAAATCCCAGGCAGATTTTGTGGATATACCAATGTTGGAGTTGATGATGTGTTTTGCGCATTAGCCTGTTGTTGATTCATTAGTAGTAGTTGCTGCTGCTGCGTAGATTGTGATAGTGATTTACGCCTGCTTTGTTGTTGCGTCAACAACATTTGTTGAAGTGGTGGTGGTTGTGTTGACCCAATCATTTGTTGTTGAACTAACAAATGTTGAGCTTGTGAGAGTCCTGATTGTTGATTTATTTGTTGCTGGGTCATATTGTAAATAGGCATTTGATTGTAATGTGGGACTATATTTGCTGGTGGCTGTTGTAAACTATGGCTAGGATTTATCGCATAAGATAGAGTATTATTATGCGATTGTAAAGGATTAATAGTTGGTCCAGTGGTGGGTAGAGCAGCAGGAGTTGCAGTTTGTGGAGGTATGTAATACGACAGTTGTGGCCTTGAAGTGGAGGATTGTCGTCGCTGTTGTTGAGGTGGTTGTTGGTTTCGTTGTTGCATCTGCATATGATGAAATTGAAGTATTCGTGTTTCATCAATCGGATGCATAGGTGGTTTTGTCCTTTGTCGTGGAGATGACAAGACTGGTGTTGTTTGGTTTAAGTTTGCAGTCATAGCGGGAGAGGTTTGATTTGACGGAGGATGGGAGACAACATCTGGAGTGCTTTGATTGACAGGAATTTCAGGACCATTAGATCTAATGGCACTCGAATTTTCCTCGACGACTCGAATATCCACCTTTTGAATATTTCTCCGACTAGTCGATGATTTTTCTTCAGCGGCGTTACTTCCACCGAACCAATTATCACTAGTGGCATCCATCGTTTCAGTATCTGTCGGATTCAATAAATCAAAAATTGTTCTTTTTCCCTGTTGGGGAGATTTTTCAGTGATTGATTCTAAATTTATATTTCTTATCTCCTCTGAATAATATTAATAACATATTATTATTAAAAAAGTTATTTAATAATTATAAAATAATATGAAAAAATTTACCTTTTTTTTCTGGTTGAGAAGAATTATTGTTTTTGTTTATCGTTGACGATGATTCAGTAGGTGTAATTGGCGGATTAATAGGTGAGGTAGAAGGTGAAGTGGGAGTTGTAGTATTTGTTATTATCGTCACGGGTACTGCAACCGATTGTGTATTTGGTTGTGGATCGGATGTAATAATGGGTGATTTTTGACTTCTTTCAAAGTACCCAGCTCGAGGCAAATTTAATTGCTGCGAAGATTTTTGAGGTTGAACTTGCCCGATATTAGATTCGGATGATTCTTGAGTATTGTCATTGATAACAGTAATCTCTGGTACCGAATCTTCGTGATTTTCAATTTGTAGTTCATTTTTATCAGCAGTTCCCGATTCTTCATTTATTTTATTGGAATAATTTCGTACTTGATGAGCTGTTTTCGTTCCCAATTGTTGTGCTATCGATTCATAATCTTTTCCGTGAGATTTCACTAATTCCTGGAAACTCATTTTTTCTTTTACGGACCAATATGATGAATGACGAGTCATACTCCTCTCCTCACCTCTTGATACTCGTCTTGTAACTCCTTCACCTACGACAGATGACGTTGCAACAACAGCATCATCAATTTCGTCTTCATCATCGGCTACCTTTTTTCCACGTCCTCCTTTTCTTTTTTTCCCTTTTTCATTATCTTCTTCTCCTTGTGCTTTAGATTTTTTTCTAGTTTTAATGCTCTTCGATCTCTTCGTTGATGTTGTAGCTTCCTCTTCTTCGATATTAGGAGGAGGGGAAGGAGAGATAGCTGCTGCTTCATTTGTAGTAATTTCAGTACCCACATTATTTGTAGGATTAGACCGAAGATTACGATAAAATTCCTCGCACTCTTTTTTGGATTTATTCACAACGGTAGCAACTAAGTCAAAATCATCACCATATTTATTAAATGCGGTGGTTAAAAGAAAGGCATCATCTTCCGTCCACTCGTTACTTTTTTTAGATGTTGGTTGAGAAGAAACATTTGAAGACTTGTCGGTTTCGTTATTTTCTCGTAGAGAAGACGAAGTTTGTTTTTCTTGTTGAGATAAAGGTGCTACTATTGGTGCCTCTCGGTCATTATCAGCATATTGTTCCTCTATTTGTGCTGAAGATGGTTCTGTTTCAAAGATATCCCTCTCTTCAGTTTCGAGTTCTTGTTGTTCTTCTAACTCCAAATCTAATTTTTGCATTTCTTCTTTCTCCTTATTCCTCCTACGAGAACTTGATGCCTTGCCAATATCATCGGTTAAAGCAGATCCTTTATTCCTTCTACGAGTATTTGGTTGCTCCGGAGTAGGCGGAGAAGTAGTGGTTCCAGTTAATGTTCTTCGTCGTCCTGGTCCTTTTCGTTTTTTCGTGTGTCCCTTTGTCGATACCAAGGCTTTGAAATCAATTAATTTCTTTTTATTAAGATAATAAAACTCAACGCATTGGTTGGTAGTTTTAATCGATATCAAATCGGCTATTTTCCCGAATTGTTTCGGATATTCTGAGTATACATTTTTGAATTTTTCTATTTCTTCAGGCTTCCAATCAGATAACGTGTCACGTTTAATTTCGTAAAATTCTGTGGGGTCCGTGACTATCCTATTACTATCATCAAAAGTCAAGGTTTCTAATTCAAAATTGTCAAGAATCATAGAAGGTATAGTAGCCAGAGTTCTACGCGCACGTAATTCAGGATTGCGTAATTCAGCAGCCTCAAGATCTTTAATTATCTCCTTTAATTCGGCCTCCGATCGTGCAGCATCACCTCGACGGTAGGCTCTTCCCGCTAACGATCTATTATTACCACCAGCTATTTCCTCGGAAGAAGGTCCAGCGATAACTTCGGCTTTTTCTGGTTTTTTCTTTTTTCCGGCAAGTTTTTCAAGTTTCTCATTTTTCTGAACCCAACTTTCATACAACATTTTGTATTGGTTTTTGAGTGCTTTTTCTTTTTCTTCTAGATCATGTTTTTTCGCGATAATGTTTTGGACTATATGGGGTTCATAAAATGTTTTGGTTTCAATAGTTCTTTTGAATATGGGATATTCTAATAAACTATTATAAACCTGTTCAGGGGGTTCAGATGATGATTCATCTTCTTCAGAGACGAAGTGATTGTCCTGATATATTATTTCCCATAGAGATAATTCTCGCTTACTTAATGCTTTTGGGTCATGAACAGAAGTATCATCTTTAATGATCATGTGATTGTTTTGATTTCTTGAATTCTCATTCATTGCCATTCCTGAATGGCAATTATTGGATAATCTAGCTGAAGATGACATAGACCTATCGATTGATTGAATGTCATTGTTTTCATCATTAATATTTCTATTCGTGGAACCAGCATTTCCGTTGGTTTTTTCTGCGAAATTTGTTGGTTTATTGTTAACTTTAAATTGAGACTTTTTTCTTTCAATAATCGTTTTCTGACGTTGAATTGTCTCCAAAAATTCTTCATATTTTGAAATTTTATCTTCCACATCTTCAATCATTTGCTCTAAATCTTCACGAATACTTGTTGTTTCTTTGCCAGAAACATCTTCAGGTCTTGAAAATTCAATCGATATTTCCGTGGCCTCATTTCTTTCTGATGTCTGTTGTACACTAAAGTCCTTACTAATGTTGGTATTATTATTGCTATTGTTATTGTTATTGTTATTATGATTATTGCTGTTTTTAGTAAAAAGATACTCTATAATTTCTCCTTCTTCGTTTTCATTATCGTCCACTACATCAACTATTGGCTTATTTTCCATATTTTGTGCTTCAATCCCAGATATATTATTACCGTTATTATAAACATCATTTTGAGTTATATGATTTTCTTTTCCCTCGACATTTTTAGGTGGAGATTGGGTTTGTTGATTATGTGATTTTGAAGTTGAAGATATAATTTCTTTCTCTATAGTTTCTCCAACATCAGGCTGTACGGGAGGTTTGTCATTGATTGAATCATTTTTTTCAATTGACTCCCTTTTAGGAGATTGTTCAAGATAAATGTCTGATTTTTCTTCACTTAAATCCATATCTAAGGATTTTTCACTAACATTATCCACCCCACCCGACTCTTCATTGTGGCCTCCGTCAGGTGCATTTGTTGAGGAACCACCTTCAATGCTACGCCATCCGGTCCATCCCCCTCGATCATTACTCTTCTTTGGTTTTTGCGGCAAAGATGATTGCTCCCCACCTGATGCTATTTCTTCCTCTGTCGAATTCTTGAAGCTAACTGGTGCCTCGTAATCTGCATCATCGTACTTAACTAGAGCATGTGCTGGAACATTAGATGATTCATTATTATGTAAATTCAAATCATCTACTTCAAACACATCTTCATATCCGTCTTCTGTGCCCTGTTTTGAAAGATCATCAAATTCGTGATTTTTTTCCGGAAGTTTTGAGATAGAAATTCTAAGTAGACGTTTTGAAGAGAACCTATCCGATTCCGGTCTACGTGGTGATGATGATTCTCTAGAGATCACACTGACGGATCTATTTTGAGGACTCAATGAACGAGAAGTAGAATTTATTGACCTACGATGTGTCGGTGATCTACTAGAACGGGTAGAACGGCTCGATGACGATGGTGATCTCCTATCCCGACGCGGAGCTCTCCAGTGATTATGCCTAGTAGCCAATGATAATTTTTCAGAATCTGCAGAGTTATCTCGAGATAGATTTCCATCATAGCGATGATAATCCATAAATTCATCTCTGCTTTTATCATTGTAGTTGCTAGATCTTCGATACATTTCCCCTTTGCCATCCCAATCTCGAAATCTATTGTGTCTGTGATATTCTCTTTGATGATAATACATTTCATGTTGACTTTCTCGAGCATAATGTGACGAGGGCAACATATTTGATCTATACATGAAAGGATCACGAAAGTCTCTATGGCTAAACAGATAAGATAAAAAAATAATTAGAAAAATTTTTCATAGAATTATTTAATTAATACATTTATAGAACATTATTAATTAATTTAGGTATTTTTCTTTTCGATTTACCTCTCCCGTTCTCTTTCTTTGTCTCTTTCCCTTTCGCGATATTCTCTATCCCTTTCGCGCTCACGATCTCTTTCGCGCTCACGTTCCCTTTCTTTATCGCGCTCTCTTTCGCGAGAATAAGGACTTCTACCTTTTGGCCAACCATCTCGATCATCAGAATATCGAAATGGATACTCGCGATTATTATTGTTGCTGACAGTGCTATTATTATTATTATTGTTGTTGTTGTTATTGTGAATGTTTCCAGAGCCAGGCGGGTAATATTCACGATGTCCACCGATATTTTGGTTTGGATTGAAGGGTGAATTGCTTATTGGGCGGTAACGAGGTGCAATGTATCTTTCGCCATATTTTCGCTGACATTTATCAAAAAAATTAATAAAGTTTAAACAATAAAATCTCACCCAAAAATGAAAATAAATTCACTAACTTCACGATCATTAGGTGAAAAACCCATTTCATTTGATCCTAATTCTGGATTATTATTCCGTAATAATGGATTTCCGGGAATTCGACGATCACCAAAGGTCATGTTGACATTAGCTCCCTGTGGAATTCTATCCATGTCATCATAGTCAACCGGAGTTCGCTGTCTATGATTACTTCTAGTAAACATATTGTTGCGTGCATTCTGCTGAGGTGGATGTTCTTCCCGAAAATATGGGCGGTCATCTCTGTATTTAATTAATTTTTTATTTAAAATTTATTATGAGAAGTATTGATAATATAGAGCTGAGAATTTATTATTTATATTTCCACACGATGATCGATGTGGAAGGTAAGACCTGCCAACTATGAAAATTACTTACCGCCTAAAACGTTCGTCACGCCTTTCCCGTTCTTCACGCTCACGACGATTGGGCCCAAATGTATCGAGAAATGATTCGTTCATTAGTGTAAAGATATGTTTCGACTATTTCGTATTTTAAATTTTCTTTATCTCGAACCAGAAACATTTTATCTGATATTCCGAGTTCAAAACCGGCAATCGATCGGAAAAATTTTGGGGTCACTTCAAATTCACTTTAGCGTGACTTAAAAATAAATATAATTGTAAAACGGCACTTTTGACCAGAGTAGAAAGAATTTTTTTATTTCTGTAGATGCATTTTCTTTATAGTATTAAAAAATAAATGCAATAACAATAGTAATAAAGTTTTAAGAAGAAAAAAATATTTCCAGTTTTTTTATATTGTATGACTGGCAAAAAAAAGACAAAACCGAGTCTATTTGTTGAGATCGAATTTTGGCCTTTATCACTATCATTTTTTCGCGTTTTTTTTAAAGCAAATTGTTGATAGAACAGCTTAAATGGAGCAAATTGAGAAAGCCGTTGCCTTTGCTTTGGATCCCTCAGCGGAATCTAGTTTAAAAGCTCAGGTTGGTACGAGAATTAGGAACTTCGATTAGAATCCCAGCTTAAGATACAATAAATCGCACATGCTCGCGGAAAAAACTAATATGGTCGTTAATTTAATTGAAAATTGAAAAATATAATAAATATCATTTTCAAATTAAAAAAGTGGCTTTTGCCCATCAAGCACAATATTATCAGAGAACATTGATTGAAGAATAGGATGCATTCTAGAAATCATGGAACTTTCAGTTCAGATGGAATCGTGCCTTTGATTTCTACAATTTTTTTTCAATATAATTCTACTTTTGCTTAGGCAATGTCTTTCTGTGAACAAGTGAAATCAGCACCCGATGGTTGGCAACTCTGCCTGTCTTTATTTGTCCGATCTCCAAAAAGGTGTAATACATATTTCTTTGCCTTATTATTAAATTTGCATTTAATTTCGATACTTATAATTAATACTCGCTATTTGCTCAGTACTCCGGAAGCGAGAATTTTTACATTGCAAGTTCTTGATGATGTTCTTCAAAATAGGTAATTAATTAATTTGATTACCTTGATATTTTCGCACTCTGATTTTTTGAATCTTTCTATCTAACTTGTATCTAAATTTTTTTCAGAATCGCATCACTCAACGCATCAGAAATACTTTATATAAAAAACACTTTGATGGATTTTGTAAAGCGAGAGTATGTAGTTGGTGATGGAAATGACGGAGAATGCAGCTCTGAACCAAATTGTATGTGATATTTGAAATATTTTGAATATTCAAGAAAATCAATCTAAAATCCTTTATTTCGCCATGACCAAAATCTTTAGACTTAAAGAACAAATTTGCACATACGCTGACTTTACTCTTTGTGCAAATATATACAACATCCTGGCGTGAATTTTTTGATGAATTGTTGGGATTGCTTCGATCAACAAATTCAGGTGTTGGGCAAATAAATGTTCGTACCGTCGATATATTTTTAAGAATTTTGCTATCCATCGACGAAGAAGTAGCAAGTTTGGTAGTTCCACGGGGAAAAGAGGAAAATAATAGAAATACCGAGATTGTGAGTTAATTATTTATTTCACATATAATCTATTTATCTCTGCTTGTGCTATCTTTTAATTATTTCATGATTTGGAATTTCTCGAATAGAAAGATACGATGCGGACTGGCGACGTGCAAAAAATTACGCCTACTTTATATGATATATTGATTGATTATCGTCGACAAGGTCAAGATATCGTACAAATGTGCCTAAAAATAATCGGACTATATATAGGTAATTAATTGATCGATTCCATGAGTGAATTAAGGAATTTTCATTATGTCGTGTACTTATGATCTCGACATGATATTATTTAATTTGATAATTCTCTCTCATGCAGCTTGGATCGATGTTTCTTTAATTGTAAATGAAGCTTACATGAATTTGATATATCAATTTTTGGGAGATTCGCGACTTCGAATTTCAGCATGTGAATGCTTGACTGAGGTACGTATTCAAAATGAACACTGGATTTTGTACCAATATTTCCTAAAATATATCTATGATGTTCGTCTTTATCATGATTTATTCAATTGCTAATTTAATAGCACACCAATTCTTTCCATGGGAACTCAGATTGTATACAAAGGTATGAAACCGCTCGAAAAACTGAATCTGATTCAATTCTTAAATTTGACGGATATAATGGGAAAGTTGGATTTGGTAGGCAAAATCGAATTTGTTGCTTTGATTATTAAAGTAATATATTATTCTTTGATTTGTCAAAGCTTTCCGCGATATTTATCTATATAGAATTTTTTTGATCTACATGTCATTATTAAATAGACAGATGATATAGACTTTGTTGAGCAAGTGGCGAAATTAACGAATACGCTTGGTACGGAATTATGTAAAATCTGGGATGAGGTGAGTAAGCGAACAGTAATATTTCCTCTAATTTAATTCTTTTCAAAAAAACTTATATAAAACTCTTTCTTAGACAGAATTTTCGCCTGAAGCTAGAAACGCAGCCTACGTGCAGATAGAGTTGCTGTTGCCATTTTTACTAAAATTCCTTGGAGATGAATACGATGAAACATCATCGGCAGTTTTCTCATTTGTAACAGGAATTCAAAATCTGGCAAGCTAGCAAATTTTTTTCTCTGCATATAAATGGTTTTGATCTAATGATAATCTTAATAATCTTTTTCCTATTTATAATCTGGTTGATTTAATAACAGTTAAAAAAGCAAAAGAAGAAAAATGGAGAATTGAGCAATTCGCAACGAGAATTTTTAGCTTCATTGCTCAACGTAATTGTCCTGAAAATGCGATATGATGACGAAACAGATTGGGGTGGCACAGACGACGACGAAGTCGAAGCAGAATTTTTAGAAATGCGCAAGGCAGGTCTTGCATTCGCATTTCATTATTAAAATTACATCGGGTTCTCTGTGTATAAACCTTTATTATTAATATCTACGGTATTTGTTTTGGATATTGTAATGCAGTCCTTAAAAAGTTTTCTTGACGCTATATGGAAAGTCGATGAACCTCTCTTTACCACATATATTCATTCTGCTGTGATCAACACGCTCGACAATTATCAGATTAGGGGGAATGAGGTTGGATGGCGTGAATTTGAGTTGGCCCTTCATTTATTATATTTATACGGTGAATCGTATCAAGGACAGCCTAGTTTTCTAGTGAAGCAAAATAATAAAGTGGTTGGCCTATCACCTTTAGGCGAAATGGTGCAGAAAATGATCGAGAGTAGTAAGTTATCATATACAATCAAATGACTATTTCTCAATTTAATTATTTGAAAAAGTTTAATATTTATGAACTACAATCTTTTTTTATTTACTCAGATATTTCAGCATACCCGCATCCATCGATTCCATTGAGTTTTTTTGAAAACGTAGCGCGTTATTATCAGTTTTTCGAAATACAATCCGATCATATTCCGATTGTACTTCAGACTTTTGTGGATACGCGTGGATTGCATCATCCAAGCAAACAAATTAGATCTCGTTCTTGGTATTTATTTCATCGATTCGTCAGATCCCTTAAGCCATATATGAATGGATATGCTGGAACAGTATTGCCACTTATTCAGGTACATGAGAAAATTGATTTTTAAACGGGCTATTTCTTGTACAATACTTTGATAGTGGTGGTGATGATGATGATAATGATGATATGTAATTTCATTTTTAGGATTTGTTGGTTATTCAGGCTGAAATTCCTCCTGCTATTAATGCCGGAGAAACTATATTGAGCAAAGATCAAGCCATGAGTGGATCCTTTAGTGATCAAATATATCTGTTTGAAGTTGTTGGCATATTGATTACTGTTGATTCTATTCCTCCGGAAACGCAATTAAAATTCACAGAGGTAAAATAGTATTATAAAATCTTCTGGTTTGTTATATATTGCATCTGCTTTGAATGTTGAATAACTGAAAAATTTTACAGGAAATCATCAATCCTCTATTGGCCGAAATACAACTTGATCTAACCATAGATCTATCAGATCCAAAATATCTTTTTTCTGTACTTCAGTTACATCATCTGATGATGGCTATCGCTAGTATTGGAAAAGGTTAGTTTATATCACACAGAAGTGGAATTATAAAGATCAAACATAATTAATTGAAATGTGATTTTCACCAGGTTTTCCAGATGCTTCAAAATCTCAAGCAGCAGCAGCTCCTTGGATTGGAATCTTTAAACAGGCGACCGAAGCAGTCTTATTTGTATTGAAGAGTCTAGATCGATTTGAAATAATTCGAGACGCGGTGAGTTCATAATTTGAACCTTAATTTTAATTGAAATCGCCTTCTTATATAATTTTCATAACCTAGGCAAGATTCTCTTTCGCAAGATTCGTTAATGTTTTGGGCACGGAAATTTTACCTTATATCCCGCCTTTAATTAATGGACTATTGAATGAAAGTCAAGTGTCCGAATTGGTGGATTTCTTACCCTTTATAGGGCTGATTTCTCATAAATTCAAAGTGAGTAATTTATATTTAAACTTTCAAATTCTTGATTTGTTAATAACATCATTCATTGATCGGGTATTAATTATTTCATATAGCCAAAAATTTTTGACATTTTAAATGAACTGATATTACCCCTGGTAAATAAAGTATTTTTATTCCTCAATCAAGCACCATCTGGCACTGATGAAGTTCTTTTATTAATGGAACTTCGGAAAGCATATCTTGCATTTATTCTCGGATTATTCAACTATGGAATGGAAGCTGTGTTCATTAGTGAATGTAACTAATTCTTTATTTTAATTGGATTATTTATTATCTTTATTAATTCTAATAATTAACATTTCCAGTGAATCGGCCTCATCTTGAATCAATTTTACAAAGTGTCGTTCATTACGCAAGTGACGCTTCAGATAGCCCGTTACTGAGAAGCTCTTTCAGTATCCTTTCAAAATCTATAGCTTCCTGGGGTGGCGTTCTTAAAATGTCTGACGAGACCGAGAGTATGCAGAGCAATGGAATTGGTCGACATTTACCTGGATTCGATCGGTTTATGTATGAACAAATACTAAGGGTTTGCTTCGAAGTTCCTATGAGGGATACATTTAATTTAAGCGACGGCCAATCGATTTTGGTATCTAGATATTTATATGTTTATGAAATCTCTACGAATAAACAACTTGTTAACTTATTGTCGTTCTTTTTAGGTATTAAACGAAATTTGTCTCATACTGAAGGCTATGCTTGCACAACAAAGCTCTGATTTTGTAGATTACTTGAGGGGAACATGGCTACCATCAATCCAATGTCCTCCCGAATTAGCAGAAGAATTTTCACAGGCTCTACAACAATTAGATGCAAAAGCATTGCGTAAATATTTTCAAGTAAGCTTGATTTTTTTGTCGTTTTATTTTTTAATGATGACAAGGTTATATAATAATGAATGCTTTTTATGCTAGGAGTTTATCCGAAAATTGAAATCATAATGATTATTAAGAATCAAACGATAATGCAAAAGAACAATGTGTATACCTTTTTAATATCTATTCTAATAATTACAAATCGTTCTTCTTCCCTTATCTTTTTTTATTAAGTATATTTTGGTAAAAATTTTCGTCATAAACTAAAATTAAACTAATGCTTTGATCCTATTTTATTTAAACTATATTTTTAATAAAAATGATGTTCGATCTGAACGCGATGAGTTCTAAATTCTAAAAATATTCACTCGTAATAACAAGAGATCAATATTCTGTAGAGAAGACCAATAATGTTATTACAAAATCGCCACAATGTGGCAAGTGATGATAATTCATCTATTTATTGTCACCACCTCACCTACTTTGTTTTTTTCAAATATGACCTCTGTTAGTACCCCAAGAAAACGGCGATTATCAATTGTTTCTCCAGAAGGTTTGTATAAAACATTATCGGCAGTATTATTATTATTATTGTTATTGAAACGGTAAGTTTACCTTCCTTTTTTCGGAAAACTCAAAATGCAAAAAATATTTCTATAGAAGGACGTCGAGTCTTAATTAATGAGCCCAACAGTAAAAAGGTAAAAGTTTGATATATCGGCTCTGAGAGATTTCCTCGTTTTTTTGAAATTGAAACTTTTATTTTTTGGAAAAAAAATCAAGGTCAAATCAGATTCTACAGCTGGTAGTGGCGGTTCGACTTCAATAACCTCAGGGACAACACCTGCAGCCTCAAATATTAGCAATAATAATGATGTATCAAGTAATTCTAATAAACCAGAGGTCTCCATAACATCATCGCAAAATAATAGCAATAATAATTTCAACAACAATAATCATAGTAACAATAACAATAATAGTAGTAATAATAATACTATAATGTCAGTCATGTCAACTGCACCGAAGACACTGCATCATAAAAATGCAAGTAATAGCAGTAATATTGATAATATTCAGACAAATAGCACCACAAATAATTCGAATACAAATCTATCATCAGGAACAGCAGTAATACCATCAGCTACATCATCATCTACAACAACAGAAAAAGACTCGCTTAATAGCAATATGAATAATCCTTCAAGAATTAAAGGACATCACCGGCAAACTTCATTCTCATCCGCCTTATCACACCAACAACAACCAACAGCAACAATATCATCGCATGCCCACCCTGATCTATTAATACGTTTAACGAAAAAGGAGGAGGAAGTTCAAAATTTACTCGTAAGAAAAAAAATCTCATTATTAAATTTATATATAAAATTTGTTAATAATATTTTCAATATTTAATGAGTATTTAGGGAGAATTACAAACACTCTCACAAACCCTTACTCCAGATTTTACATTTGATCCTGCATTACGAAAAAAATTTCTTGACCCAGCAATTAATGCTTTATTCAGAACAATGAAAAAAGAATTGGAGGAAAAAGAAAAGATGATAGAAGATTTACGAAATGAATTGGATGGAATTGGTTTTACTCCGAATAGGTTTAATGTTTTATTCTCTTTTCCTTATAAATATTATATATGGTAACAATATCAATAAAGAAACATTTCTCATTCTTAGTATAACTGGTAAAAAGCTAGTGGCTAAATTGCGTGCATTACAACATGAAAATGAAGAATTAGGTCGACAACTTAGACAAGGTCGCGTTGAGCAATACGAAGTGGAAATTGCAATGCAACGTAAAGTTATCGATGAATTAAAGGCTGGATTAGAAGGTTAGTATTGGAACACGATATTTTATTTTTGATTTCGTTATGGTTTTAATTTTATCCCTTTTTGATCTAAAGAATCAGATTCACAGTTGTTGTTAATGGACGAGGAAAATGAACGTTTACAAGACATTGTGTTTCAACTTCAAGCAAAATTGAAAATATGCGAGAAAAAAATTGATGATCTTCAATCTGAAAAGAATAAAAAGAATAATATTATTAACAATAGTAATGATGATGAAGCTGGCACATCGAATGACGCTGCTTCTGTTATTGCAAACACTACAAATTCCGCTGTTACTCCAATCACCCAGAGTCCGGATGGTGATGCAGAAGAAAAAAGCGGCGGCAATAAAAGTATGTCTAATGATGATGTGGATATGGATGATAACGAAAATCGAGAACTACAAAGTAATAATGAAGAGAATACAGAGAAAGTCAAGTAGAGCGTGATGAATTTATTATATATGTACGATTCTAATGTCTGATTACTAATAATACTACTCTTATGGTTATAACTCCTCACTTTCTGGAACAATGGTGTATATATAAACAATTGGAAAAATAATAAAACGTGTATATGGAATATGATTATTACACATGATTAAACTCTAGCCAATCAGGAAATTGTATGTACGGGATAGTTATGTAATAAAAGTCAGTTTCAAATCTAGTCACATGATAAGAGCAGACACTTTTGATTTGATTGGTCAGACTAATAATTATATATAAAATCTACAATAAAAATTGGTTACATGATGCAGTATTTGCTGTTTTAAAATGGTTTGTACTATAATATTAAATGTTTTAGAGCTATAACAAAATAATTAGTAATATCAAAATAACAAAGATCTTTGTTCTTTTATAAATAAAAAATATTATATTTTTAACAAGTAAGAAATATTAATAAATAAAATATCAAAATATTAAAATTCAAATAATTAATAACAAAAATACTATTATTATTTTATATAATTTTGAGCTTTGTCATAAATAGTATTTTTATGAATTGAATTGAATCAAACTTTTGTCTGTATTCAAGTTTTGGTTTGAGTTCAAGAAAGTTCAAAGTTCAAACTAAACTTAAACTAAAATATTGTGTGAGTTTGAGTCTGGTTTAAGTTTAATTAGAGATCAGCATATAGTATTATATATTAATTTATAATTTTAAGTAAGAGCTATAACTTTAATATTTTTTAATTATAAATGTTAATTATATTATTTAATAAGAATTAAAAATTTACTTAGTAACAACTAAATTATTTTATTTTTATAATTATTAAATTTTATTATAAATTTTGAATAATTATTATTAATAATAATTATCTTATAACTCTTATTTCTGATTATAACTTTATTTATAACTATGATTTATTGTTACTATAGCAAATAAATATTGTTGTATAATGACCTTTCGTCATAACATTTTATTGGATTATAAATATCTCATATCTTATTGGATAAAGATTATATCACGTGAAGCGAGCGAACAAGCGAGCGA